CACTAACCTTGGCGCGTTCTTTCTTTTCTTTAATTTGCCCTCCAATATTGTCACTCCAGTTGTCCTGCTCGTCCTTCTCTTTTGCGCCCTCCTGACCTCGACAAGCTCAACTCACCCACTTTCCCCAGCAGTCCATCCTTTCCCTCACTTGTACTTTCGAAGTCTTTGCAGGACAGGCGAACGACCCTCGGGACCCCCTCGCATCGTCGTTCGGAAAGTCATACGTGCCTTAAAATCGACCCAAGTCATCCGCGATCTATGAAGATGTCCGGGCCCAGTTTCTTTTACGCGGAACATCCAACCGTCTTTGGGAAAGCGGTCGGAGATCAGCTCACTGGAAGGTACATGGAGTTTCCAGTGAGTATGCACCTCCTTCTCATGCTAGTCTTGTGGTTAACAAATCGACCGCCAGCTAGCCCTTGTACTATGTCTCGAGAGGACAGCTCTGCAAGCCCCACCGAGTGGGCCTTCGTAGTCTTGGTTTTCCTCTGCTGTCGTTGTCTGCTGCCGTTTCCACGCATACGTTGGGGGGTGTCAATCCCAGCGTTATCATGGAATCATGTTGGAATAGCTTATCTTAAGCTGTTACATGCAATCATCTCCGCCTCGCCCACCACCTCCACTTCACCACGCCTCGAAATTCCCGTCCATGACTCTCAACGTCCCGACCCTCTGTGTCCACTCCTCTCCATCATCAACTTCCACCGCTCGTTACAAGGACCCAAAGTACGAGTTGTTTTATGCCCTTGGATGAAGAAGCGTGAACGACAATAGAAACCCATCGCCGTCGTCTTCCATATTGCCATCCACGCCTCGCCTTTTGCCTTGTCGGATGAAACCTGCAGCATCGTTCTTAATCCACACACACCCAGTTCAATAGGACCGCCATCTAGAGACTCCTCTGCCATGGAGTTCCCTCTCGCGTGAGGATCCAGCCTTTAGATTCGTTCCTCCCCCACTTGGATTCATTGTTGTTTTGAAGGATGGGACGGCTACTGGGACCTGCTTTTCTGCTGTGGAATCATCGTCGTGCTTCATTATAGCTCACTGGGATTGCCGTCTATTCGCTGGAGCAGTCTCTTCACATTCAGTCCTGGCGGTGGGCCTTCGTTGGCTTTCGAGTTGAATTGAAAGTTGCTGGAGGACGGGTTCAGCCACTTTGTTCCCTATATCTCAGCCTCATCAGTTAGATTGGTCCTAGATCATGAGCGACCGGTCTAATATCATCGAATATGCATGTCGTCCCGGTGAAATCCATCTCCAACCTCTTTGTGCAGGGTCCCGACTTCTCCGGACAGGGTGGCGTCCTGTCAGACGTCGCCTTATGTTCGAGTCATACGTCTCATGAAGTCAGCCTGGATTCTCTGCCATCCGTGAAGACTCACTGAGCCCAGATTCCTCGACGCGAAATGTGCAGCACCTCTGGAGAACTGGCTGGAGATCAGCTCAATCGACCTCCGTGGAGTTTCCGGTAAATCTACGCGTCTTTCTCATGTTGATCGTGTCGCTAACGAATCGACCAACAGCTGGCTGTTGAACTAACCTCTCGAGAATGAAGAATACTCATCGCATTCCCCTGCAAGCCTCACCAAGTCGCCTTTCGTACTATTGGAGAAGATTTACCGGTTTTCCTCTGACATGGTTGTGGGCCTCTCGCTTTCGATCCGCTTTGATAGGTTTGAAACAACTTACGGAGTTTCTTATACCTTATACCTCGGATGGGCGGACGCGCGGAAATACCAAATCCGAGGCTGTTTGGTGTTCTCCACGTCACTTCTTCGACCGACTGGAACTCCCAACTCCCTCTAACGTCGCCTCAACGTCACCTTAACCTCGTCATCTACCCAGATCCCTCTCCGTTGCAAGCCATACTGTTTCGGCGATGGCGTAGAAGTTGGCTAGGGAGACAAATACCTCGGACTGTAAAAGTAGGAGTTGTAGTTGGAGGTAATAGGACGGTAGTTATGTAGGTACAGTAAGCAAAACTGTTGAAATGCGAAGAGACGTTCACGAGATGTTTGTTTGAATTTGATCAACTTGTCTATGACGTTAACCTCGCGTTGTAATAAGACCGACAGCCATCCTTGCTGGATCCTTCTATTTGGAGAACAATGATGAAATGTTGCTCGTTTGCCCTCTCTTTCGTTTTGTAGGCTGGCGATCCAAGGGCGAGCGCTGCTTTCTGTGAGCCGGAGAACTCAGAGGTGTGTTCGCTTTCTTGCTCAAGGCTCACCTTCATAGATTGATGCTCCGCATGCAGATATGCACTGCGCTACTCAGTGGTAGTCAGTCTATCCGCCACGGCTTCCAGCTCGGGGATCGCGCCCCTTAGACGGCTTGCTCCAGCCAGATATCCCAAATCCTGGGTCTAAAGCATCATCGGCTCGTACAACATCACTGGGGAACTGGCTGGAATGTAGGGTGCATCGAAAATGCGAGGTTCAAACCCAGTAAGTTTACGTCTCCTTATGCTGGTCGGCTTCTCATGAATCCCCAAAGCTGATTCTGCTTTCAAACGCTCCCCTATGCTCTTCCGCAATCCAGTCCTAGTTTCTGTGATTCGGAGCTCCTCAACAACCCGAAAGCCACGCTTCTTTTCCTCGCTTCCATTTCTTAGGAAGTTGGGTCTTCTCGCGGCTCCGCTCCATCGTATGCTGGACAGTGAAAAAACGACAGCTAAAAACACACTCAATCCCAAAATCATGACTACCGGATTCGTTCGCGCCACAGCTTTCAATAGTCTCACCAACAACGTCACCTCCCGTCACGATACCTCATCCCTATCCTATCTCCCCGAAGCAGCAAGTACGACCGACTAGAGGGCGGAATGCAGCCGAGTAACGTTGGTGGGACGAAAGTGTTTGCGTGGAAGAAGTTTGCGATGTGCGCTGCGTTTCTCGTTGAGGTGATGTGGTTTCGGGGGTTGGGGGAGGATACATTCTTCTGGCGAGGGAATGGGAACACTGATTTAGACGCGGAAGGTAAGTCCCATTGCCTTTATTTCTAGAAACTGACGAAAAGACCAAGGAATAAGGATACCAAACGGACACAGCGCCCTCCCCTTCCAAAACGCACCACCAACAAACCCAACAACCAACAACACCAGTTACCTGTCGTCCCCGCTCCAAAGCCAGACCCAGATTCCTACGAATCTGATCCAGACCCATCATCAACAACACACTGTACCCACCCCCACTACTCCTCCTCGTGCAATATGCACTAATGATCGACGTAGGCTCAATTGGCTCTGGAATCCACGTCTACAAATTCAACAACTGCGGCCCTTCTCCCAAATATGAATACGAAGTATTCAAAATGACACAACCTGGTTATCTTCATTCGCTGGGAACCCAGAGGGCGCTGCGAGGAGCTGGGACGAAGCTGTCCGCGTGGTGCCCAATGCCATGTACAGGTGTACACCTGTAGCCGTCAAAGCTACCGCTATACTTCGTTTGTTCCGGGCTCACAGAGCGCTGATATTTTGGAGGCGGTGGAAGGGAGGATTCGGTCATCCTATCCCTTCCAATTACAGGAAAAAGATGGGGTAGTGATCATGGATGGCAAAGACGAAGGCGTATACGCGTGGATCACGGCGAATTATCGCTTGGGAACCATCAAAGCTTCCACACCGCCTGATACACCCACCTACGCAGTCATCGACCTCGGTGGCGCTTCTACGCAAATCGTATTCAAGCCTGTCTTCGCGTTCTCGGATATGCAACTCGAGGACGGAGAACATAAATACGATCTGCAAATCGGTGGCCGGAACCATGTGTTGTGCCAGCACTCGTACTTGGGGTATGGTTTGATGCGTGCAAGGAGACACGTTCATAGATTGGCGGATCTCATGTCGACGTTGCAGGGTATGAAACCGAAGGCGGTGGCGGGGAATCCGTGTCTTGCGAAGGGGACACAGAGGGTTGTGATTGTTAAGGATGAAATGACCGGTAAGGAGAGGAAGGTGACGATGGATGGGGGACATTGGGTCTTTCGAGGCGTGTGATAGGGTGGTGCAGCTCGTATTGGCAAAGGACGCGTACGTCCCTTTCTCCTCCTTCCTTTTACTCGTTTTTTCTTCCTCATCATTCTCTAATTCTCTTTTCCATCATTCTTTTCTCCCTTCTCTCTTCCTTTCTCACCTCTTCCTGGTCCCTGCTTTCCCCCCCTAAATCTGCCTACTAATACACATGCACACAGAATCTGCGAACTCAAACCATGCTCCTTCAACGGCGTCTACCAACCCTCCCTCCTCTCCTCCTTCCCAAACGGTAAAGTCCTCCTCCTCTCCTACTTCTACGACCGCCTCTCCCCCCTCCTCCTCCCCTCCTCTTCTTCCTCCCTGCCCATCACCGTATCCACCATCGCCAGCACCGCCCGCCAAGTCTGCAAAGGCCGCGACGAATGGCTGCGGAAAAGATTGCGGGTACGGAGTTGGGTTGGTGTTTGGGTGCTACGATTGCGATGGTTGGTGGGGAGCTGAAGTGTCTGATTTGAGGGTGGTGCATGGTGGGATAGGATTTATTTTATTTCTCACTGATGGTGTTTATCAATAATGAGGCTACTTGGACTGTGGAGTGCTTGCAAGTGCCTATACTTACTACATGAATATAAACAATCCTGCTCTCTTATAAGACAATAGGTAGAATACCTAGGAAGTTGTCTCAGTCCATGCATCTTTGGGACTGTCCAGTGTGATTATATCAAAGCAGAAGTGATTACAACTTGCTCATACCAAAGGGTTATGGTTCACTTTTTCCATAGGGCCACTGTATGGACAATCTTTTTTTTTTGTGAGGGGAAAGAGGTGATAGCTACTGTACATCATATATACTATGTAAAGAAGACACAGAACTAGCTTACACATACAAAATGGACTCAAAACCAGAGACCTCAAAAGAAAGAAAAAAATGTGGTATTTTAAGAGTCCCCCAAGGGCCAAAGAACATTCTGACAACTGGTAAAAGGTTGTTCAAATAGGTCATGAACTGCATTGAATGCTACTATAAGGCTGGTGAAAAACATTGACTCCAATTTGTACCATGGACAAAGTTACTAAAATCAAGTATAGTTGGAGTGGTGCCCAGTACATTGACTGTTCTTGGAAAAAATAAGCCATGTTTATTGCTTGTTGGCACCCAGAAGAGATATGATTTGGAATCTTCTCCAATGATCCAATTATTATATTTATGTCCCTGAGAGGGATAAAAAACAACAGGTTTACTCTTGAAAATGTGAGATACACTGTCATGGGTATCAGTGTCATTAACATTTATAACTCCAGATGGCAAGAATGTGGATGGCAATGTAACTGAAGGAGCTGAGGGATTTAAGTCCATGCAGCCTCCATGAGCATCCCAGAGTCTGATGGTTTTGTCTGAAGATCCAGAAGCGATATGCCTACCATCAGGTGAAAAGACAACTGATAGAACAGCTGCATAATGGCCTTTGAATGGATCTCCCAAACTGTGACCTGTTACAGCATCCCAGAGTCTAATTGTTTTATCATGAGAACCAGAAACAATGTACTTCCCATCAGAAGAGAATGCAACTGAATGAACCCAATGACTATGGCCTTTTAGAGAATCCATGACACTCTGTCCTGTGCAAAAATCCCACACTCTGACAGTTTTATCATCAGATCCAGACACAATGTACCTTCCATCAGGAGAAAAGGCAACAGACTGAACACTACACCAATGACCTATAAGAGGATTCATTATACTTTGACCTGTCAGGGCATCCCATGCTCTGATTGTTGTGTCTTCAGACCCAGAGATGATGAATTTGCCATCTGGAGAAAATGAAACTGAATGAACACAATGAGTGTGACCTATGAAAGGATCCAACACACTCTGCCCTGTCAGTGCATTCCAGACTCTGACTGTCATATCAGAAGATCCAGAGGCAATGTATCTACCATCAGGAGAAAATGCAACAGAAATAACTCCTTTATCATGGCCTTTGAGAGGTTCCATGGCACTCTGACCTGTTAAAGCATCCCAGACTCTGACTGTGCAATCATGAGATCCAGAGGCAATGTATCTGCCATCAGGAGAAAATGCAACTGATGTAACATGACGGACATGACCTCTAAGTGGACCTAAGACACTTAGACCTGTCAGAGCATCCCAAATTCTGAGTGATGCATCATTTGACCCAGAGACAATTTGTTTGCAATTAAGAGAAAATGCAACTGAGCTTATTGCCTCATTATGGCCTCTTACATGATCTATCTCAGTGTGACCTGCCAGAGCATCCCAAACTTTGATTGTATGGCCCACACCTCCAGAAAGAATATGCTTTCCATTGGGTGAAAACACCACTGAATCAACTGAGCCCTCATCATCTTCAAGAGGACTTGATGTGCAATGACTTGTCAGAGCATTCCAGAGTCTGATTATGCGGTTTCCAGTTGCACAAAGAATGTGCTTGCCATCAGGAGAAAAAGCTACATTCGGATGGAATCAGAGCCTCTAAAAATAACTGTTATATTCTGACCAGATAGAGCATCCCAGACTCTGATTGTCTTATCAAAAGATCCAGAAACAATGTTCATTCCATCAGGAGAGTATGCAACACACAGAACTGTCTCATCATGACCAGTAAGTGGATCCATCAGACACCGACCTGTTGCAGCATCCCAGATTCTGATTGTGCAATCACGAGACCCTGAAATAATATGCCTGCCACATGGAGAATATGCAACTGAAGTAACCGAACCACTATGGCCTTTTAGAGGTTCCATGACACTCTGGCCTGTCAAAGTATTCCATACTCTGATTGTCATATCTCTGGATCCAGAGACAATGTGCCCACTATCTGGAGAGCATACAACTGAGCTAATCCAGTCATCATGGCCTTCAAGAGGACCCATAACACACTGGCCTGTTAAAGCATCCCAGATTTTGATTGTCTTGTCCCAAGATCCTGAGATTATGTGTTTCCCATCAGGAGAATATACAACTGAACTCACATAGTGAGCATGGCCTTTAAAATCCATGATATTATGGCCTGTGAGGGCATCCCAGACATGAATATCTCCTCCATGAGATCCAGAGACAATGTGCCTGCCATCAGGTGAATATGCAAGTGGACCATTACTACCCTTTAATCTGAGAAGGCACCTATCTGGCCACTGTTTCATCTGACCATTCTCAATTGTCAAAGTCTTTACAAAATATTTCATGAAATGCAGAGATATTTTAGAATTTTGTGGTGCAAATGGCAGTGCTGAGATGTAAATGTGTGGTGCAGCATCAGATATTGGCTCAAAAAATGTCATTATAAATTGGTTTGCATCACTTGCAAACTCTGACATACTAGGCTTCAATACCTGCAGTTAGTTTGCATAAATCAGTATCATGATAGTCTATTTATGTAGAACACTTACATTGCACCAATTTTCAGTTAATAGCAGTAAGTGGGCAGCATGATTTACAGCACCCATCAGGCTCATAATTTCTAGCCAATGTAAAAGGTGAGTCATCAAAAAATACTCCATCTGCATCATTATCTCCTTTTGTAATACCTCATCAGGACACTTTTGCAGATAGATTGCCCAGAAGTAGCTTGCATGATCTAGAGCAGTAGATTTCACATTTTTAATATGGTCCATCAGATTTGGAATATCTTTATTTAGAATATGTGATGTTTCCAGATCAAAAAAGTTGAATTTGAGCTTTGCACTCATATATTTTAAACAAGATCCAGCAAAACAGAGACTATGCTTCTGAGAATCCACCCAAAAAGTCTTAGACCGCTTTTTGTCAAGCAGAAAATCTGTGAATGATTGATGGCAGATATGCAAATGGCCAGTATTACTGATTAACAGCACTGGGCTAAGTTGGCTCACTATTGACATTGTATCTTGAACTTCTAAAAGCTGTTCAAAATCACTTGCACAAAGTGGGTTCTTTGCAATGACAATTGCACCCAAAACTGATGACAAATTATCTTTTTCTGCTTCTCTTAACCCCTGGAAAGCAACCAAGACAATGTGCTGGTACAAAGTATCAATGGCATCAATGCCTTCACCAGAATCAGAGCAAATGACATTCAACCTTTCTTCAGTATCACCACCTCTGTGCAAGATAAAGTCCATTGCAGATTTAGCCCAAATATAGAGGCCTGCAGCCTTTCTTACAAGAAAAGAAATTTTATCTGGACCAGGCCAATTCAGATGCAGTGACGTTTGCAATCCAGACTCAGTCATGTCAGAGAATCTGGTAGTAAAGTAAAGCTCAAGGTCATCAGAGGTCTGATCAGAAACTTTATCCCCAGTATGAAGATAAATAGGGTAACTGATAGAATTCAGTGTAGTCTGAATATCAAGATAGCGACGACTTGTGATGAGCAGTTTGAGAAATTTTGGAAGCTGCCAAGACCAAGATTTTAATGATGGTAGAAGTTTCTGATATTGTTCACATTCATCAAGTGCATCAATAACAACAAGAAGAGGTGCTTCACTATTCAGAAAGACCTCCTGGACTGGTTTGACAATCAGATGCTCAAACTGTTTGGAAATATTGAGACCTCTGATGTTAGCTTTCTGTGTCTCCAATGCCTTAGCTATAGATTTCCCTAGAGTGTTGTTTCCTAGTGCAAGATCCAAAGCAAGGTGTCTCCACAGATTGTCTGGATCACAAAACTCAGCCTGATCACGGTGAAAGAAGAATTGCCCAGAGAAAGATTCAAAGTCAGCAACAACAGTTGAAGCAATTGTTGTCTTCCCAGAACCAGGACTTCCAGATAGCCAGAGAATATTTGGCATGCTAAGATCATGAAGCCATGCTTGGATGTCTCTGAGCACATTCACACAAGTTCCAGGCATGCATGTCTCCCTTTGCTTATGTGATGGAGCCTTCAATTCTTTTAACCATTCATTTTTCTAGTGAATCATTTAATATTAGTTATGAACAAATTAGTTGACATAACTTACCTTTGATTCTTCCATCCTCTCATTGATTTTGTGTGAAAGTTTTCCATCATTGTTGTAGGTGACCTGTATAATGAAGATGCAGATTAGCATGAACCTTCATGTAAAACTCTTCACTAACAGTATTTGCAGCAATAACCACAGCATGGTCCATCTGAATATCCTGTGCCCCTGCCAGAACACTTACTTGATGCACTAGAAAAAGTTTGCAAAAGGAGTAAAGAAAAGAGAAGATTAGAAGGTGTCAGATAATTAGCTCACTGGATTGTTTTGCCACTGTAGCCTTAGCCCCTATACAAATCTCCTCAGTTTCAATCCCTGTGAGATCTTAATAACTAATGGAAGAATAAAAAAGGAGATAGTTTGACATACTACTTTTATATATATTTCCTTGACATGCCTGAAACTTACAGACAATGAGTTGGTTAAATGACAGAAACAATTCACATACATTGAAAGTGCCCATGGCTTCGTTTAACTTGTCCTTGAGCTCCTCTATGTATCCCATATCCTCTGTGAAACTGGGAAATCTCCTCCCTTGGGTGGGTTGAACATCTGAAACTCTTTCTTTCAAATAGTTCAAAACTCTAGTGAGTCCCCCGGATTCAAACGGTATCAGCAACAGATAGGTCAAAACCAGGTCCACCCACCCATTGAGATGCTCAAGACTTGATTGCCAAGCATGCAGAACGTGATCCTCCCCATATTGACGGTTAAACTGAACAACCCCCTCAACATGCCCAATGAGACTCTCCGAGAACTCAGCCCAGGCTTTCTTATTGGAATTAAATTTCTATTCCTCACCATTAGATAGATATAGCAGATTAGCTTAAGCAGCAGTACAGACCTTAGTCATGCCAATGATGGCCAAGGTGTCAGCGACGGCTGCCTTCAGACTCGGCGAAAGAGCATCCTCAGACTTAGTCACAATCTCGAGGTACTGAAGACCACCTCCGCCGACGGCTCGCAGAAGGTCGCCCGCAGTCGGATCCAATCCAACTATATTGTCAATGCTGTTGGTGCTGCTAGTAGCGTACGCGAAGTTCATCGTGATGGTGGTTGATAAGAAGAAAGATGAGAGGCGCTGAGATGCTGTGGTTGCATCGCCTCATGATCATGTCAATGGTCATATGTCCGTCATGTCGTCATGTGAGCCCATCGAGGGAAGCACCTTCCAGGCGCTTCTCTCGAGCGCCTAGTATAAACGAGGGTATTTTATAGAGGAAAGAGAGGTTATCCCGCTTCACTCCCCAAAGTTCCACACAATCGTAAGGGAGCGCTGCGGCATTTGAGTCGTTCTCACTCTATGCTCGGCCAACTCCCTTTTCGTGATCGGGATAGTCCTCAAAGACCGGAACACTGGAACTGAGTCATAAAGCGCAACCGCTTCGACTTGCTGCTACACGGAACTTCTTTGAGTAAAAGGGTTTCTGCATCTTGTATTAATGACGCATTCATACCTCTAAACCTGGGTGCGACTTTTAGAAGAATCGGCAATCGCATTGGCTGCTCGGCCTATACTCAGGCCGACCACACCCCAACCTCCCTACGGGAAGCCTCCATGAAGTCTTCATTCGCCGGAAGCCATTATTAACCTTTTTCACCGACGTTTAGCTTGTTTAACGTTCAGCCACCGACCTCGGGCAACGAAAGGAAAATGACCGGGGCGGGGGAGCTTCGGTCGAGATCATAGCACCGCCAGGCGGTCGTTCCAGCATCAAGCAAATTTCGCTGAAAAGAGTGTGCATCGGTGAGAGCTCAGGATTGAACAAAGAAGCAACAGGTTGCACCTTACAATCTTTACGTTGACGGCCGATTGGGCAATACGTTAGCAGGGCTCGTCCACGAATATCCGCTGCACCTGCGACGCCTTGAGTGGCGTTTGAAGTTGGGTGGATAAAGTTCGTTGCAGTTGCGTGGTTGGAGGTGACCATTCTCGGCCATTGGCGCTCGGATGCTTCCTCGTAACGCCCACCTTCGCCCTTTGAATGCCTAAGCTATACAGATGAGAGACTGAAACTTCCCGTGTAATCATGAGTCAAAACATAGTGCACGGTTTGCGACATCTCAATGAACCTGATCCTAGGTGT